GCTATTCAATTGAGAGATTTCAAAAGGTTCTTCGAACTAAATGTAAAAATAAATGCAAAATTAAAGCATCCATAGCAGAGGCATACATTCTGGAGGAGGTGTCAAACTTCACAACAAAATACTATGCTGACAACCTTCCTAGCGTGCATAATCCACCCCCTCGTTACAATGCTGGCGAAGATGAATCGAACCTTAGCATTTTCCGAGGGCAACTAGGAAGTGCAAGTGGTGCGACTAACAAGGCCTTGAAACATGAAGAGTGGCGCACTATTATGCTATATGTGTTGACCAACCTATCCGAAGTGAAGCCGTACATGCTATAAGTTCTCAACAAACTTTTTCTCAAGTAGTCACAATTCTGTGTCCAACTCCCTTGTTTCTCGTTGGTACAGGGAGTTTCATGAACGATTCTAGCGTGAATCAAGGGAACCTACCCCGCAGGAAACTTCGCCCCTTCTTAGAGAGGGTGCGGGAAATGGAATGCCTGATTTTATTTCTTGGTTCAAACAGAAGGTACTGTCCATTTTGGCTCGTACTTAGTTTGACATTACAAGTTGCTTGTACGTGTGACTAATATAACGAACTACCCTGCTTGAACTTGTAGGGATAAACCGATGCATCTATGAGTGCCGAGTTGAGACAGGTTGCCGATGGTTGTGCCTATAGGGTCAGGTTATTTACCGGTTATGACGTGAATGGATATCGCTTTCACACAATAAGCCACGAGCAGAGTCGGCCCAATCGAAGAACCACAAATACTGGAGTTTTTACGCAAGGCTTAGATGGGGTTGAGTATTACGGAAGAATTGAAGAAATATATGAACTCATGTTTCATGGTTGCAAACCTCTTAATCCCGTTATATTCAAATGCCATTGGTTTGATCCTGAAGTAGTGAGGCGGACCCCTAATCTTGGGCTAGTCGAAATTCGACAATCATTCATCTTACCAGGAGACGATGTCTATATTGTGGCTCAACGGGCAACGCAAGTTTATTATCTCTCATACCCGTGCCAAACTGTAGACTGTCTTAAGGGTTGGGATGTTGTGTACAAGGTATCACCACACGGTAAACTACCTGTCCCAAACCATCAAGATTACAACATAGACCCCAACACATATGACGGATAGTTCTTTCAAGAAGATGGGCTCGAAGGGAGTTTTGAGATAGACTTAACCGAAGCTTTGGGTATGGAAGTAGACAATGAAAGTGGTGCTGACGAGAACGCCTGAGACGAGGTTCAGAATGTGAAGGACGTAGAATTACTTCAACGATTACATCTAAGCAACGACGGTGATGACGACATTCCTCCTTCGGAGCACGGGGATGATTATATCGACATGCGTGATAGTGATGATGAGACCTATGATCTAGCTAATCCCGATGATGATTATTATTTCTAATACATGTATGATCCGTGCTAATTGATTTATTATTTGTCATACCATGTTATTTTCTAAGTATGTTTTGTTTATTTTGCATCTATTTTGATGTATTATCTGTGCTAATTGGTTTACTCTTTTTAATTGCAGGTGATTGAACAATGGTGGGCGGTATGAGGAGGATAACGTCGCTTTACTCAAAAGCAACAGCAACGAGTAAAGGGTCCGATGTAGCTGAGGGGTCCGGGAAGAGACATCGGGGTAGACCCAAGGGTCGAGGGAAGGGTGGAGGCAAGACGAGGCCACCGTCGCCTGTACCTTCTTCGCCATCTGAGTTACCTTCCACTCACTCATCCTCTGAGGAGGAGGCAGGGGTGGAGGAGGAGGAGGCAAGGGTGGAGGAGGAGGCAGGGATGGAGGAGGAGACATGGGGTACCTCTTCCTCTACTTCATCGCGTGTGTGGTTGCGAGGTCCCTCCACCCTCCCAAGGCGACCGATACCTCTTGAGAGACGCCCGCTGATTCAACCCGATGGAGACAAGTAAGTAACTTTATATGTTATCACTAATTTTTTGTTTGATATGTTCAAAATTATAATAGAAACTAATAATTTATCTTAATCACTTGGGCAGGGGTTGGAGGAAGGTCGGTGGGGGTGATCACGCACGCCATGTGAACGGTATCCTTGGTCTTTTGATCAAGGAAAAGTTCCCTGGCCTGGTTTAGTTCGGTGGAACTGTTGAGCCGGCCTACACGTGGGCCCACTATGCCGCCGTCCCCGATACCACTGATTGGGATGGCAGGTGTTTCGCCGACAAGGTGCAGCATGTCAAGGCTGAGCTTTGGGTGAGTCTTTCTCGCACTACATTGCTTAATACATCGCATTGATTGGACATTCTTGAAATAATGATTGGATACATCGTGTCTATATGTAGGATTTCTTTAGATGCGAGGAGGGATACGAGGGCAAGGCGGATGTTGTGGCTGACAAAGCCGCCAAGAAACTCGTCAAGGACATGCACTACGAGGCGCGCATCTAGGCCGTGATCCAATACCACGCCTAATTTCTTAGAGAGAGGATCCCTAAAAGGGCGGCAAGAACCATGAGCCTGACCTTGGAATAATACCTGAAGGTAAATATAGAACAATAATACTTATTTTTTTAGATTAATTACGCTTCATTTCATCTTCTTATATGTCATATACTTGATGATGTAGGTGCCTCCATGGTGGTGCGCCTACGATCTACAGTGCTGGGCCCGGATGGTGGACATGTGGTGCGACCCCGCGTGGGAGGAGAATCACAATGCTTGCCGAGAGCGGTGTTTGCTGATGCCGGGTGCACCACACCATCAAGGCAACCTCAACCTCTTAGAATACATGGCTAGATGGGTACGTAAATTCATTTCTTTATTTTAATGGTCAACTCTACATAATTTCTAATCATATTACTTTTTTTGCAGTCGACGTCACATGGTGGCGAGGCTTGCTCCTAGTTCATGGCATATGCTTTGGCCCACAAGGGGAAGGCGACGTCGACGTCGCCTACAACCCAAAAGACCCGCCCTCGGTGTACAACAATGAGTCCATCCATAGCCGTCTTGATGGATACACATCGATGGCAAGGTAGGTCTATGGCCCAGAGTACAATCCGAGCATCCATGACCTTGATGGAGAAGTGGTCATGAGGGCGGGAGGAGGCAAGAAGCATGGCCGGTTCTGGATTGGCGACGACACCATCGACACGACCAGTACTCCCACTCTCTCCCAGATTCAAGCACGGAGCATGGGTTCCAGTCCGGCGATACGCCCACGACCGGACTCTATACGGTTCTAGATGAACGCACTCTAGGTTATTTCTGTTTTATTCATCGTTCATTGATTTTTACATACTTTTGCATTGCATTGTAACATTGGGATGAAATATTGTAGGCTCAGCTAGAACAAGAAATGAGGCACCGGGAGGAGCTAGAAGCGAAGATGGAGGTAGAGCGGCTGAGGATGGAGGCAGAGCGGCAGAGGATGGAGGCAGAGCGGTAGAGGATGGAGCTGCAGATATTTGAATATATGAGGGGTGTTTATGCTGCAATCGGTCAACCTCCACCACCGTTTCTAGTCCCTCCTCAACCTGCTCCAAATACTGTTTCAGGCACTGTGAATTGCTTTACAACCTTATAATCTAGTTTATGCAGAATCAATCTTACAAAAATGCCAAGACACTAGAAACTTAGTAACTAATGCTATATGTTTGTTACCAACTAGTACTTAAGCAATCATACTAGAGTACAATGCAACTGAGAAGATATTGCTGATAGTTGTAAGGGTTATACTAGTTAGGCAGCAGAGAGACCATACGTGTTGTTTAATCTTATCTCACACATGCAATCTCTTCTCCTTTATGTAGCATCAATCGGCGGCATCGAATGAGCCTCATGACCTAGCCCTGTCGCAGTGGAACTCGTGGCCTAAGTGACTACTTGTGATTTTATTTGTATTTATATTTGTGGATTACCTGTGACTACTTGTGGTTGTGAATGAACCTACTTGTGATTCTGAAGTTTATTTACATTTATGTGTTGTCGATATATCTATATGAACTGCATGTGATGCCTATTGTGAACTATCTATGATGGATGTGATGTTTATTTGAATGTGGTATGTGGCTGTGACCAAACCTAATAAACTAATTATTTGTGGCAACTTTGCCGGGTGTAACACTCAACAAAGAGGCCTTTTGCAGAGTGCCAGGGTTAAAACACTTGGCATAGTGTACACGTGGTAAAATTCTATGCATTCTAGGACTAAAATGGCTTCTTTGCCGAGTGTCTGCGCTATGACACTCGGCAAAGAAGCCAAAATTCTATGTCATGAGGAAGTGTTTGCCGAGTGCCTAGACTAGGACATACAACAAAGAGGCAAAGTTTGCCGAGTGCCTGGACTAGGACACACGGCAAATGAGGAAGTGTTTGCCAAGTGCCTAGACGGGGACACATGGTCAAAGTTCGGCTAGGCGGTGACTACTCGGTGACTACGCGCGCCTAGTCACTGGGCGAAGCCCATCGCCGCGACTAGGGGCACAGGCGCGCATCGCGGCGCTAGGCGGCGCGGAGGCGGTGCGTAGGCGCACTAGGCGGGTGCGGACACGGCGTGTAGGCACGCGAGATGAGCGCGAGCTCGAGGGCGGCCAATTTTGGCGCGCCAAATCAGAGCGCGGGAGGAATTCCCGAGCAGCCAGGCCCACGTGCAGCCACAAGACCCAGGCGCGGGAGGATTAGAAGGGAGCACGGCACCATTCGCTCGTCCCCGCCGCCGGTCCTCCTCACCGAGCGAGGTCCATCCCGCCAGACGACCTCCTCCCCGCCGGTCCTGCTCCTCCTCCTCTCCTCCCACCGCTCCCAAGCTCATCCTCTGCTCTCCACTTCTCCTCCACCTCCCCGCTTGTCCCAAGCTCGTCCCCCGCTTCGCCTCCATGACTCCTCGCACCACCCCAAGTCCCTCGTGTCATTATCGACTTGCCTCCCATGCTCCTCTCCTCTCCCATGCCGGCAGCTCCTCCCCTGCTCATCTCCCCGCCGGCCACCCCAAGTCCCCAAGGTGAACTCTTGAATTTGAATGTAGGATGTCGACAAAACAAGGTGTTTCTACACCAGATGCAACAGGAACTGAGGCAACTAATCTCCTAAAAAGGAACTCAGTTGATGTTGGATGGGAATATGGTGTTCTTGTTGATGCTAGCAACAAGGACAAGGTGAAGTGCAAGCTCTGTGACAAGGAGATGAGAGGAGGGATTCATAGGTTGAAGGAGCATTTGACTCATGAAGGAAAGAATGTGAAGAAATGCACAGCAAGAACACCACATGCTATGGAGGCTAAAGAGAAGTGCAAGAAGGCACTAGCTGATGCAAAAAGGAAGAGGGAGGAGAAGACTGTTCGTGAGCTAGAAATTAGAGAGGAAGTTCATGTATCTAGGGTTGGAACAGATTCAGATGAAGTCACCTGTGTTGGAAGTTTAGAGCCCCACAAATTAGGACCCATTGACAAATGGACACGTGCTATTGATCCTAAAGCTACCAAGTCTGATTCTTTGAAGCAACAGCAGCTGAACAAGGAACTTTGGAAAGAAAGAACCAATGAGGTGCATAAGTACATTGCAAGATGGGCCTGTACACATGGTAAATTGCTAGTATACTATGCTATTTTTACATTTCAAAGTTCATTAGATGTTGTTTTCCTGTACTGAACACTAATTATGCTTCTTTCAATGTTATGTTGGCAGGAATTGCTTTCAATGCATGTGATAATGATGAGTTCAAGCAAATGTGCGAAGCAATTGAACAGTTTGGTCTAGGACTTGTACCTCCAACTCAGGATGCACTACGAGGGAAGTTGCTGGAAGAAGAATATGAAAGAACCAAGAGTTTGCTGCAGGAGCGTGAAGCTGAGAAGATGAAAAATGGGTGTTCTATTATGACTGATGCTTGGTCAAATAGGAAGAGGAGAAGCATAATGAATCTGTGCACCAATTGTGCTGATGGAACCTCCTTCATTAGCTCTAAGGAGATGTCACATGTCTCACATACCAGTGAGGTCATCTTTGATCTTGTGGACAAAGCAATTAAAGAGATTGGTCTAGACAATGTGGTGCAAGTACTGACTGACAATGCCTCTAACAACATGGGAGCAAAGAGGCTATTGGAAGAGAAGAGACCACACATATTTTGGACCTCTTGTGCAACTCACACAATCAACCTTATGCTCCAAGGAATTGGCAACATGACTCGGTTCAAGAAAGTGGTTGACCAAGCAAAGGCATTTACCATATTTGTCTATGGCCACACAAGGACATTGGAGTGCTTGAGATACTTCACAGAGGGGAAAGAGGTAGTGAGGCCAGGAGTGACTAGGTTTGCTTCAAACTTTCTCACTTTGAGTAGCATGCAAGAGAAGAAGGACCAGTTAAGGAAGATGGTGGTTCATAGTAGGTGAGACTCATTGAAGGATGTGAAATCATAGAAAGGAAAAGAGGCAACAGCAACTATATTGACTCCAAGCTTTTGGAAGGATGTGAAGCTAACATTGACTGTTTTTGAGCCATTGGTCAAAGTCCTCCGTTTGGTTGATGGGGATGTGAGGCCATCCATGGGTTTCCTTTATGGAGAACTACTAAAGGCAAAGAGACAGATCAAAGAGGCCTTTGGAAATGTTGAGGCTCGGTTCAAGGATGTAATAGCTATTATTGACAAGAAGATGAATGGAAGACTTGATTCTCCATTGCATTTGATAGCCTATTTGCTAAATCCTCACTATAGCTATAGTGACCCATCAATCTTTGATCAGCCCAAAATATCAGAAGGGTTTATAGCTTGTGTTGAGAAATTTTATTATCATGATGAGGACATGCAACATCAGGCTGCCAACATTGAACTAAAGAAGTTTCAGAATAGAGAAGGACCCTTTAACAAGAAGCTTGCTAGGACTTTCAAAAACTTTGATTACAACCCAGGTATAGGTATTTCCTATAAGCTTGCATGGCTCATGGCTGTTTGTTGTTTGCTATTTTCTAAACTAATAGAGGTGTTTTTTTATTTCAGCATCATGGTGGAGACTGTATGGATATGAAACACCAGCTTTATAGAAGATGGCTATAAGGATCCTATCTTTGACATCAAGCTCTTCTGGTTGTGAAAGAAATTGGAGTGGGTTTGAAGGGGTTAGTACCTATCTATTATGAACATTTCAGTTTCAGCAGCATTACAATTAAATTGTAGAACTGAGAATGCTCTTTTTAAATTGTAGATACACACTAAGAAGAGGAATAGGCTTACTACAACCCGCCTCAACAAGATGGTATATATCCAATTCAACTCCAAGCTGCTTAGTAAAAGAGAAAAGATCAAGTCAAACAAAATCATTGATGTTCTCTTGTCTAGTGATACAACTGAAGCTCAAGGTTTTCTCCAAGAGGGTGGGGATGATTGTGCATTAGTTGACTTTTGAGATGGGGAGGAAGATGAGATGGAAGGTATAGGGATACCTTGGTCTGTCATTGGAGAGGCAGTGGGAGCAAATGAACAGCTTGAGCTGCGTAGAAGTGCAAGAGTGAGGGAGCTCTATGAAGGAGAAGAATTTGAGTCTGAAGAAGAAGAGTATGACGATGAGGATGTGTACTACAGTGAAGAAGAAATATGATCTGGACCATCTCCATCTAGTAGTGAAGTCTTTTGTGATGCCCTGGTCTTATGAACTACAGCTGTGTCACTTTGTGTCTGTGTGTCTTCTTTTGTGATTTGTGAGACCTGAACTAAGAACTATGTGCTTGTGCTGTCCTTTATTTATAAATTGTGTTGTGCACTTGTATTACTGTCCTATCCACTTGTATTGTAATTACTAGCTGCTGATATGGTGTGCTCATGGATGGGAGGCTGCTGAAATCATCCAGATAAGTCACAACTTAGTGTTTTCTATTTTTTTGATGAACAGCTAGCTGTCTATTGACTAATTTACTAACTACTAGCTATCAAATTATGTTACAGGAGCTAGGAACATGCAAGAGTAAGCCAACTAGGAATCAGATATGTCTATTGGCCCTCTTTTTATACTTACTGTGACTGATATATAGTAGTTATATACATATATATAGTTATATACATAATATATATATAATTTATGGCTATATTGCCAAAACGCCTAGGAAAATGCCTAGGAGCACCTAGGACCGAGTACTCCCGACTAGGCGCTAGGCAATGGGTCAGCGCCTAGATTCCGCCTAGCGCCTAGCTGAACTTTGCACATGGTAAAGAAGCAAAGTTTGCCAAGTGCCTAGAATTTAACACTCGGCAAATTAGCAATGTTTGCCGAGTGCCCGAGATTTGACACTCGACAAACAGGCCGTGACCGTCTTCGCTTCGTCACGTTACTTTTTTTCGCCGAGCGTCGGATTCAGCTCTCGGCAAAGTCTTTGCCGAGTGCCCGATAGAAAACACTCGGCAAAGAGCCGTTTATCGCACTGTAGATGTCGTGTGTGTTTGTTTACTGAGTGTTACACTCGGTAAACCCTTTGTTGAGTGTTTTTTGGGTTTTGCCGAGTGCCTGTGACACTCGGCAAAGTGACTGTTTCGATAGGGGGCGCTCGGTAGGGCTCACCGGCGAGAGAGATAGGTGGAGGAGGAGCGTACCTGCACCTGCATAGGGCAATGGCAAGTTGGAAACTGGACGAACTCAGCATTCGCTGCGGCAAGCGGAGGTGATGGACGGAGGGCCTAAATATCAGCACGCACTACGGACTACTGCTATTCTAGGCAGGGAAGCCATAGGGGTGGGAGCGTGAGCACTGGCTAGCAGTAGCAGGTGCTAAAATGCCTGAAACGCACGTGGTGGGTGGGTTTTTCTTTTATTTCTAACGATTGAGGTCTTGTTCGTTTTGGCCGGAATGGCCCGTTCCGCTGTCCAATCCGTGTGGATTGCCGCTGGCCCATTTTGAAGCCAGGCTTGCCTCGAAATGCTATTCGGTTTAGTCTGGCCCACAAAGAAAACTGGCCAGGTTTGGCCATTCTGCCCCCTCCATGGCCCGAAACAAAGCCCGACCTCCTACCCTCTGGATCGGAGTCGGAGCCTGAGGCGGCACGAAGTAGACGCGAGAAATAGAGAGGCAAGGCGACCACGAGCACCCGTAGACCGCAGTGGAGGCGACGATGGGGTGGTGCGAGACGATGGCGACGGCGACGTGACCGATTCCAACCTTACGTCCTTCCCCTTCCTCGTCCTTCTCGCCGGTGATCCCTCACTTTCCCCTTCGTCCTTGCCTTCTATTCCTCCTCTAGGGTTCTTGGATCTTGGACGGCAAGCACGATGGTCTAGTTTTTGTTGATATTCGCGGTGCGGGTACGTGGGATGTGGATTAGATTTTGCGCTAGTGAGTTCTCCTCTTCCTTCTCTTTTTTTTCTCCCTGGTGCTACCTCTAGGGTTCATAGTTCTTGAAGTCAGGATACAACATCTCCGCTTGTAGCTCACGCTCGCCGTTCGTCGACGCCGAGCGCTTGCCATTTGGGGCAAGGCCCCGCTGGTCACAACGGAACTTGGACTCAGCAACGACACCTCTCAATCTGTTGATTGACATGATGTATTATCATTCCATGTTTTGCAATTTGCATACATACATGCATGGAGCAGATCGATGTGCCGCGCTAAAGGGCAGATCGATAGGCAGCGAAGCGGCCGTGCTAGGAGTATGAGTGTATGTGTGCAAATACATATAGATTTGTACTTTTTTGTAGAAAAAGATATGATCATCACCTGAGTCCTTGGTTTGTTTATTTCAGATTATATTGAGATCAATCTGCTGTATCATGCCATGCCTTGCACGTCTTGTGCATGGCCTTACACGAGAGCCTATAAATTGATTGATACTAGAACGCCTTCTCAGATTCTTTCAGTTCGACGATCAGTAATTAGACCAGCAACCGTGCATGCATGCACTTAATTTGATGGACGACATTTAGGTAACCTTTCCACATAGTTAGTAGCACGCAGTGTAGTGAAGTGAGGCTGAAATCTTATCGATCTAGTTAGCTCTGTAGGTTCAACTTGTTGACTTGACAGAACTTCAGTTCCCTGTGCCAATACATTTCCCTGTGCTAGCAGAGAAATTTTAGTGTCAATTGGGTGGCTATAAGAAATGTTCATGTATGCAGTAGTGTCCTTGTCTCAGGTTTTCATTGATCTCACTAGAATTACTCAGATATAATGGTGGGTTTAGTTACTGAAGCTATATTCATGCGTTATTATCTAGATGATGTCTTGATTTGCCAAATGGTTTCATGTTACATGTAGATCTCTCTAGCACCAAATGCGTTATTATTTATATGTTAATCAATATATTCTTGACTTGTCTAGTAGTCTTTGATCAAATATTTTAATAGTGATGATGACTAAGCCACTATATGCTTGGGGTTATGGTTAATGAACTACTACTAATTACCTGGTGTAAGTGTAACTCGAGGTCTGCTCTTGTTAATAATAGTGATCAAATATTATTAACATATAGATAATCTAGGGTTTGATTGCTCTACCTGTGTGCTTTGCATTAATCTTAATGTTCAATTCAGTCCTGTCAGTGTTTCTCTTTATTTTTGATAGTTTTATTTTGGGCAAGATTTTATCTTTTCATGTGCCTTTGAATTATGCTGCACTACTGTGCTATATATAAATACTATCAATCTCTAGAGCTGGCTCTGTGTGCTGTCTTGCTGTGAGCGTCAGATTTTAATAGCTGCTAGTATATTTTTCTGATGCCCTAGGCAAGTGGTGCACAACTGCACAAGTATATATATTATCTACTATTCACCAGCAGAAAGTTTTTCCTTGAGAACTTGATTGTACCAGAAGACCACTTTCTAGTTCTCATCACTAGATCGAGAAGCAACTTTGGTTTGGCTCAAAAAATGCGATGGTCTAACAGGTCAGTCTACTTAATTGCTGAAAACTTGATGTTTTCCTTCTATTTGACTACAAGAGTCCTTTAGTCACTGCAAAACTTTGAGTTCTCTAGGCCTGATCAGTCACATAACCTTAGGTATGTCAGTTAGCATATATTTGTTGGTATGGACACAAGTTTGTCACTAGCACATTTTTGGTAGTGGTACTGCAAGTGCCAATGCCCATGGGACGTGATGTGTGTTCTGGACTTCCGTTGCTCTAAAAATGTTTGATACAATGCTACCGCAGTGAGATGTGCATGTTTAATTTCAAGTTCATGCCAAATGGATGCAATGTTTGTGCTGCTGCTGTACTGTTCAGTTCAGACATTCAGGTGTCTCTGCTTGTTGTTTGGAAGATAGGTCTATTACTTACATTAGGCAAGTTTAATAGTAGTGAATTCTATATATGCTTGTTAGATGCTTGAGGTGGCGACCACCATATGGAAGTTCACTTCATGGTTCATGTTGATAGTTGAGTATCATCAGACTTTGCATGCTCGTTCATTCACATTGGAAGACTAATTTTATGTATGGGTACTTTTCTTAGAGGTCTGTGCTTTGACTTGCTCTTTTTTGTGAAGATGTTGCATGCGGGTCATACGTGCTGGACTGCAGGTTGCCATGTTCTTAGGTGTGGGCCATGCACCATTGTGAGATGAGAAACCATTTGTTAATAGTACTATCAGTTATCAAGCATGGAATTGTAAGTGATAGTTCAAACATTTTTAATGGTGAGAGTAACCATAGAGTATGTGACGACTAGCATGTCATAATTTGGTCTTTCAAGAGTTCTTCAGGACTTTAATGGATCTACCAGTGAAGTTACAGTATCATGTCTAGGTAGTGACTAGTGAGCTTGGTGCTTTTTAAACCGACATATTGATTTAATTATGCTTTGGTTGACTACATTGTGAGTAATTTTCGTTCAATTATTTAGTAATTTGTAAAAAGCTTGCTGTCATTTTTAGGGAGGAGGCAATGATCAAGAAACATTAGATTGGACAAAGTGCCTGGACACTTGAGTAGGCTTAGACTAGTTATCTACTGGTTTAAATTATGCTTTGGATTTGTGCACTTTGTGATGGTTTGTGTTATCTACCTGTAATTTGAATTGTTTCAAGCTTGTCATAATATATTCTAGCAGTTAAGTGCCTGGATATGTATACATGCCATCAGTAGCCCTAGATATTCTAGGGTTTGCTTTGCATGGTGATTTGAATTTTTTTGACAGATCTATGTTATTCTCACGTAAATTTCTAGTGCTATGTAATCTTTGCAGCTGTGAACTCGTGAGGCTTTGTTTCCTATTTTCATGTGAAGCAGCAGACTTGTTCTGTGAAAGCAAGTACACTAGCAGCAAGCAAACAAGCACTTGCAAGTAGCAGTTTTCCTATTTTCCTTCTATGTATGTGTTCCTGTCCAGCCGAACATGATTTTGTAATTAGATCAGGAATGGATAAGGATAGGTTTTGAATCAGACCAGGAATGAGTGGAGGAAGAAAATCCACTTGATGCTGGCCAGGAATTGTTCTAGGACAGGAACTGTTCTACAGAAAATGAACAAGGCTTGAGTTGTGGTGCATTCATCTAGTGACTTCAATCAAATTCTACACTCTATAGCTTATGTGAACCGCCTAATCCAATGTCTCCTAGGAGTACTTATATTCTATTAGACACTAAGTACTCAAAAGAGGATACTAAATTATGTAGTT